ATTCATTTTAATTGGTGGCCTAAAAAAAAACGCTTTTGACTGGCCGCATGACGTATACGGGAACGCATGCGCGTGACGATTTATGAAGGAAACACGCTGAGTGGGAGGTCGGGTAGGCGATAATGGCGGAAGATTAATGGAAGAAAATAGAGAAAGATTTGGCAGGCGCTATCTTCGTTATCGTACGTTTACAACGGTAATGTAATATAAGAACATGATCTTAAAATTAGACGTCTTTTTCGAATATGATAATAGGTTTGGGGTAGGAAAGTTGTGTGAACTACCATAAAAATACCGATAAATCACCTAGTTTCCATGCCTATAGGTTCAAGGACAGAATTCTTCCCAGAGCTAGAGGAACACAGAGAGGGACGTGATGTTTTACTCGTACCAGCAGGCACTGCTGGAATATCGATATCGATAAAAAACAAAAAACATACCTGCTTGATGGGGAGGGAGAGACTGCAGCTTTATCTCGTGTAGCAAGTATTATACTGTACGTCGTGAAGTATTCGCCAAATCTTGTCCAAAATTCAATGGCGAGTTTTTAGAAGATTGTCAACAAAATTCTATCCCACAATCTCTTTGTTTCTATGATTCTCTTTGGAACTAACATAAAAAAACCCAGTTAACTGGTTGCTGGTTTATAATATTGTTCATTCACAGTCGCGAACGAGAACCACCTCTACCTCTTTTATTGGGTGGGGGGGGGGGGGCACATGTGCATGCTAAGACCAGGTCTAAGGATTGTAATGACACTATTTACCAGATGGGACTATCTGTGTCCTCTGATAGGCTCCTGAGTATGTTTGAAGTAATACAAGTATTTCATATGCAGCGTGTTTTGTGCATTGTTCCTAGCCACAGAAGTGTTTACTCACTTAAGCTCCAGTCGTTTTATGTTTTGATTCCATTAGTAATTGTTTAGTCACTTAACAAGGTATCTCATGTAAATTTGTTCATTATTTGTAATAAGAGTATTTTTTTATTTATTTGTTGGAGCTAAAAAAACAATCATATAATTTCATAATTTATAAATACAGTTTAACTATATTTATTAATGTATATCATAAACCTATATTAAATATTAACAAAAACACAAAATCTTGTGAAAACTTATGACTGGTCCACCTATATGAAAAATATTGGCTTTATTTTATTTCTTGACACCTAGAAACCTGGTACAGTACGAACACAAAAAGTAAGTCTGTGGCTCATATATTAAGCGAGATAATGCCGATTACATTGGGGTGAAGCGACCATTTTAAAAAATGGCTGCCACAGCTGTCCACACCCCTATTCGGTTGGGGTACAATCTTCAAACTGACCCTTGTGGTTCATAGTAACTGTATACCAAGTCTCATATCAAAAAGTGCACGATCAACCTCAAAATGAGTCTTAAGCAACCGGACTAGTTATTCTAGTGTGACCGACATCCACATAGAAGCAGTAGACAATGCGGGTAAGATGAGTGTTACGAGCCCACTGCCTTGCCGGCGGTACACAGGATGCCAAATCCACCGAACATTGCCCATTAAAGAACCTGTAAAAGAGAGTGAAGCAACCTTGCGGCGAAGATACAGGGAAGAAAGATTATCGACTGAAAAAGGAGTTAAGACGAACGTGATGTACTGCACTGTATTATTTTATTAGGCTATTTGCTATTTGCACTGTAGTCTCTGAACCATATATTGTGTTTGAATTTGACTCAAGCATAATATACTCCGTAATTGGTGTTACTTATTTTGTTTCATAATTCATGTGGTCGCTGCTTTATGTGGGTGAAATATTTGTACACTTCCTTCATTAATTATTTCCTTATTTATTGGTGCCATTGTTGTTCACACTCATTCTTTACTTATATAATCCTACCATTTTCAGTGCTATCCTTCTCATTCTTCCAAGTTGGGCAGTGCTTGTCAAAGGAGGCGTGTTCTTGCTTACAGGAAGTACACTTCAGCTTGCTGGCTTGGGTGTGAATGTTTACCTGCGTGCATTTTGTGTATGACTGTATGTGTGCTTTATGTGTGAGTGCATGGGCGTGTTATGTATGTGTGTGTGTGTGTGTGTGTGTTTGCCATTCTAACTCTTGTCCTTCTTTATCATTCTTTAGTCTTTATCACTTGTCTGTTTGTCTGTTCTGGGAGAAAAATGAAGGAGGCCACGAGGATGTTGACAATTCCTCAAGGGGGTAATGGAGTGAAAAAGGTTAACCACTATCCTTGAGTAACTAAAGTCTTTAAATACGAATTCCAGGTTAGCACTTAAACTAGCCATCAACACTTAAAATTTACAACTCATCTCTCGTTAAAGTCTGGTAATAATTGTATACATAACGCAACAAGACTTGTATGACAAGTTTCGCTCTTTAACAAAGAATTAAGAGTTAAAAATAACTACACATAATTGGGTAGCAAATTTCGACAAAATTTTCTTAAAGAATAATTACCGAACAGTATTTTTTACTTTAAAACATGTAGATGTTAGAATCTTTTAAACTTAATAGAATCAGACGTTTGTTCAGTACCGGCACTTGTGAATGTCATCCTGGCATTGAACCATTTATGATTGATATAAACCAGACACCGTTTACCGATTTATACCACTTGTTTGCATACCGATGGGAACAGTCTCCAACATCTAACACTAACTGCAAGTGAAATGAGGAAATCAATTTGACCTTAGAAACCCAAATCTGCAGTTAATATACATGAAAGACAATACAGTAAAATTTTCTGAAGTGAAGTGTGTTGAGGGAACAGCCGCAACCCTCTTATCTCTCACCTGTACCTTGGGTTCGAGTCCTGGCCCGAGACATGTGCGAAGAGTGTTTTACAGTATTATCCGACCAAAGGTTTCCTCCAGTTCCCGCCGGAAAGACGAGTAATATAAGTACTGAAATAAATTAGTACAGTTCGTATGTCCGAAAACTGGTGGTACAGTTGGGGGATGTGTTCCTACACCCCTGTAATAACCCGTGTCTCCAAGCGGCCGTTTGGAGACACAGGTTACCTTCTCCGGTGACGCAATCTATACCTTCCTGAGTTTACGTAGTTATAAGCTTAACCTCTGAAGGCGGACACAGCTACCATTGCTGTAAGTACAGAAATCCCACAAAGTTGAATTTCATTGGTTGAAAACTGTGACATCACACTAATTGGTTGAGCCTTGACGTCACACTAACTTGTTCAAGACTGCGACATCACAATAAGTGGTAGAAGACCGTGACGTCACAATAATCGGTTGAAGGCCAGTCGTAATAATTGGTTCAAGTCTGTAACGTGACAATAATCGGTTGAATACCGTGACGTCACAATAATCGATTGAGGAACATGAAGTCACAATAATTAGTTGAAAACAGTGACGTAACAAAAATTGGTTGAGGACGTGACATCACAATAAATGGTTGAAGCCCATGAAGTCACAATTGGATGAAGACCGTGACGTCACAATAATCGGTTGTAGACCTTGACGTCACACTGTAGTTAGTAACGTTAATTGAAGGTCTTTACGTCACACTAGTGGTGTCTGAGTAACCCAAAAAGACATTGTATAAATCCTTGATCCAAGTGTTGAACATTATGACGTCACGCTGCGGCTTTCACTCCTCGCATGTCTTTTATTTAATTTTTGAGTCACGATAACAAGGGTAGAGTTGAATACGTCGCTACACAATGCGTGAGACTGGAGAACCACATCAACCTACGATGCTGGATAAGGATAATTATCAATAATTCAAATGAATTTTTTTAATTGGTGGGAGAACGCGTGGAAGCAGCACATAGGAGCTCAGGCAAAATATTTATGATCAAAATGGCGTCAAAATTGCATTAAGACTATCCTAACCTCACCCTGTCCTTATTTCCGAGGGGGGGGGGGTGAGTGACCATTGTGCTCTGGTTGTCTGAATAAGCACAATGGTCTCTGCACTCGCTTAAAATATAAAAGCATCTCGCCACTGTTCTCGTGTCAATCTGATGTTGAAAGGTTTGGGGTGATTGTCATAACTTCTTGTTGGCCGCTACATATATAAACAGTATATACTGATGCAATTAAACTGAAATTTGAGCTTGAAGCTGTGATGTATGACAGCGCTGCTGCGTCGACTTGCGTTAAATCAGGGATGTTTTTTGTTGCGCCGTCCACTGGCTATTGATTACCTACCAAGTCTTGGAGAGACGACGGAGGAGTTGACAACAGTATTAATATAAAGCCTCATTACTGTTGGTTATGTTAATTTCCCGCGTCAACATTTAGCTCTATACTATAAGGAAATTACATAAATCATCTATTCAAATTATACATATATATATATATATATATATATATATATATATATATATATATATATATATATATATATATATATATATATATATATATATTTCTTAACATTGTAAGGTACTTTATACCAAAAAAACTAATAAAATCTGTTTAACACGCATGACCAAATATTAGCTTAACGAATGATGCGCGATGTACCACGGCAATTACCCTGCTTAAAGATTTTCAGCATGTCAACCAGAAAGCAGAACCAAAATATGTAGTTAGTCTCGCTCACTGATGGGTAATTATTTTTGTTAGAAATACAGAAAATGGATGAAGCCTCATGAAACAATACACTGAGCATGCGCTTAGTTGATCGACGCCAGAGTTAACACGTGGTCGAGGGAAGCATTATTGCACACTAACCCGACTCTGATCGTGCAGGGGAAGGTGGTCTGGTAACACGTACATTGATGATTCCTCAGCCAACTGGCGCACATGAACTTAATCGGATTATAGTTTTATCATGTACCGAATGCAGGTTTTGTCTGCATCTTTTGCGCTTTCTTATATGTTGATGAAGTGTGTAATTATAACTGTCATCCATTTAGGAGCCTGTAAGTAAATATTCTCTCATTACTTTTTAGTCCCAAAAGTAAAGCTAATTAATCAAGTTCCGGATTTCGATAAAAGTATGATACTTATATTATTTTTTAAACGTAATTGATTCTTACCTGCAATTATCTCTTCAGGTTGAGTATCTAGTAGTGTGGGTGTGGGTGCGGATAGTGGGGCGAGAAAGTGCGTGAATGGGTGATCTGTGGGCGGGCTGAGGCGCAGTGTGGACATGCCAGCAGTAGTCCCCTTACCGCGCAAGTCATCTCGTATAGCATATTTCGGGTGACGAACACGCCGGCGAGCCAGGTTGTCCTGAGAAAAAAATATAACCTTAGTGGTATAAAAAACATAACCTAAATCTTCACAACAATATTCTATAATGTATTTAAATATATAATTAATAACGGGAACTTAGCAAAAAAAATTAACATTAAGTGTATTTGTGTATCTTATATACCGAATTATAAAACGGGTCCCATCTCATTCTCATTGCAAATTATTTTTTATAATGATCTCATTATTTACCTGTTCTGCTCGTATTTTGTTTTTCTGAGCCAGTATGCATGCAAGAGTAGAGGGTGCAACACCAAAACGATCTGCCACCACACTCTTCCTCTGCCCGGCTTCTACCGCCTCAATCATAGCTAATTTTTCTCCGGCTGTGTATGACTTACGGCGGCCGCGCTCACGTGTGTACATCTTGGTGCCTCCCGCGGGCTGGGGGACGATGGCGGCGGGGGGATTGGGGGGAGTTGTGAGAGCTTTCTGCGCGGCAACAAGGTTCCGTGTGGCGCTCGCAGCAACACTGGTGGCCAGACGGGGAGTCAAATTGGCAGACATTGTAGTGACGGTGGCGCAGCTGTTGGTTTTGGAGGTAGTTGAGGTTCCTGGGAGGATGACGTATCGCCCTGGTGGAAGTCCTGCTGGCAGAAGAGGAATCCCAGGGTTACCAGCACCCATACTTACTATAAGAGGCATACTGGTGCCTCGCACCCCCCCTCCCAGCATGCGGACTCCCCCAACCCCACCAGTCAGCGAGGGCACCTTCGCTAGGGCCGGCCGCGGTGCTTTCGGCTTGATTTGTTTTTCTTCCTTCATCTTTGCTTCTTCCTTGATTTCTTTCTTTACATCTTTAGTTTGCAGTCGCTCGCCTTTATCTGCATATTTCGCTGATTCGTTCGCTTCATTTACATTTAGTTCACTCTTTTCTTCTCTTTGTTTATCTTCATTCGTTTCGCTTGGTTCTATGTCGTCGTGTTGTTCACTCGTCACGCTGTATACTTTATCAATTTTGAAACATGACTCTTCAGCCTCATCTATTTCACCTTCCTTTTCAAATTCAAATACCTCATTTTCATGAATAGTTATGTCATCCTCAGCGTCGGGATTATCGTCTACATCCATGCTTCTCCCTTCCTGTTCAGGAATGCCACCATCAGTGAGTTGCATGGGTTCACTATCTCCGGGCACTGATCCAACATTTGTTATGTTTACATTCTTCCTTCCACATCCACTAACGGTGTTTTCTTCGCTGTCGGCAGGTTTATTTTCATCCTGCACCGTAGATGCATTTTCAAGTTGTAACACCACGTCCTTGGCAGTTTCTTCGGTGGCCTTGACCTCCTGAACTACACTTGACCCACTTCCTGACATGTTGTGGTGTATAGCAGGGATTGATAGTACAGTACCGGTTCAACAGTGACAACAATGCGCTCCTGTTCTATTGATCCCAGAGCGTTGTATTTGTGATCGATTGGCACTTAGGTTGCTTGGGAACAGTCCGGAATGGGTCGAGGATGAAAAATTAGTTTTCTTAATATTCTTTCAACACAGTTCACTGGCAAGAGAGGCAGGTGCTCGGTGACTGGCGCTAGGCTCCTCCGATGTTGTATGCGGGCCCCGTCCGCGAATCTGACTTGAAAGCTGAATGCTGATTGGTTGGGAGAGCGAACACTAGCGAATGTTACACAGCGCTCCATTTCGTTATAGGCGCGACGGGCATGCGCAGTGAACCGCCCGCCATTACTGGTCGAGCAACCCATGGACCGACGTGCGCCTGCCTGTTAAAATTATTCCACGTACTATTTACTCCACCTCAATTTTTATACATTAATATACACGAAACAATGTAAAATTAAGTCCTTGACAACATTTGTATACAGTTGAACAATAATATATTTTTTGACAATCGTTGCTTGCACGTGACATTATGCTATCATGCGGTGGTGGAACAAGGGAGTGTTGGGAAGTGCGCGAGTGTCCGCTCTCTTCACCTACGCCTCTGTTAATCCAATACATCAATTTCTCTTTATCTGTACTCTGTCCTCTTCTTAGAGCCACGTGGCCATTCCTGGGTACAGTCTACTCCAAAACCACTCTAACAACTTCAGAATGTGAACAATTACTCATTTTGTACGAAATGAAATGGGAAGCGGCGAAGTATAGGAAACTTTTGTTGGAGTGGCGAGCCAAGCGGAGCGCGGGAGTTGCTCAGGTGATGCCGTCACCTACGCCCGTATGGTCGTCAAGGGAAAAAGAAGTTACGTTTAATGATAATTTTCCTTATGATGAGTAAACAGACGATTAAGAGTGAATAATGAACACTATATTTATGGAGATTTATTCAGGATATTTTAATTAAAAAACACCTAAGCCGGTATAAACATTAACGTTTAAACCGTGGTTCCTTGCGTTAACCGGGGCCAATCACGGATAGCGTGGGTACTCGTGCCGCCACCAATCACAGCAAAGCATTCACAGAGGTTAGGTTAATCGAACTTCCCTACTGTATTCATCCCATCGTCAGACTGAACCGTGTGAAATAACTAATCCCACTTCATAATTTGACTGAAGTATGGCAAGCACAAACCCCAATTCGTGTGGACCTGCGGCAGTTCCTATTAAAAGAAAGCGAGTAATGTTATCGATTAAACAGAAATTGGAAGTTATAGAGAAACGCGAACTTGGAGTGACAGTTACTCAACTGAGTGCACAGTATAATGTTGGTGAACAGACCATTAGAGATGTCATGAAAAATAAAATTGAAATTACCAGATTTGCATCTACATTTGATAATGCTGCAGGCTTAGAAAAAAGAAAATCAATGAAAAAATCAACTTACGAAGACTTTGATGAAGCATTATATACTTGGATTCAAATGAAACGCATTTGTAATCAACATCTAAGTTACCAAGAAATTCTGCAAAAGGCAACACAGTTATCCAAAGACATACCTGTAGGCGAAGGGGCGAAAAGTTTCGCTACATCACATGGCTGGTGGTACCGTTTTAGGAGGCGCCACGGACTCTGTTTAGAGGCATCAGAGGGGAGCAAGGTGAATGATATGGCAAGTGTATATTATTTTTACTGTATATAATTTTATTAACTTGATATGTGCATGTTTAACCTATTGCAACTAATTTTCAGCTCCGGAACTCCAGTAAGAAATATACTGACAATTATTTTATCTATTAAGGTAAATTTGTCCAAGTTGACAGACATATTTGAATTTAACACTTCTGTAAACAATACACTAATTCAAAAACTTTCGAATTAGTTTTTAATTTGCTGTAACGGATGTGTTTGATGACAAATATGATACCTTTCGTCTTCACTTACCTGCTACAAAATAAGTTGTGTGAAGACAACGTAGATCACTTCAGTGCAATGGGTAGAAGGATTTGGCTAGATATGAGATTTAAAAAAAAAATAACATTCGTTAACGACGAAAACTATCAGATTACAGTAGTGAATGTTGACAAAAGCAAGAATTTTATGTTACTGGACAATTACATAACTTAAAATATGTTTCTTTACGATGCAAGTAATAGTTACATAACAATTATGCAAAATATATAAACGCCAAAATATCATAACGTGCCATGTTTCGCCCCAGCAGAAGGTACTGGGCAGTAAGTAAATCTTGTCATAACACACGACGCCGTGGTCGTAGTTCACATTAACGTATGTTGTTACCTTTTAAATTTATAATTAGTCATATATTGTTAATCAGTTATATTGTAGTCCAAGCGAGGTTAGAAATAAAGAGTTCCGAATAGTTTGCGTAATTCAGCAAGAAACTACGAGGTTACTGCTGGGTAATATTTACACGAGTCTCCCTGGTCACACTGCGGTCAAAATAGAATATAACCAGGGAAACTCTTGTAAACATGTACACACTTAACGTAACAGCTTAACAGGGAGACTGAGCTAAACATTACTTACACTTTAAGCCTAGTGTTTAACCACCAGAAAATAGACAGAGTATTCAGGAAAATAGTTATACAGGTCCACATTTCTAACCACACCCCTCAAAATACAGTGTACTTAGCAAATGCTGCAACTACTGAGAAGGGGGGGGGGGGTTACTACTAAGAGCGTTTCTTGATAACAGAGAAGAGTTTGAAACACTACTGAAAGTACACCAACCAAGTATTGTAGGAGTTGTAGAACTGTTGTACAAGAACAGGAGAATCGACCCAGAGGAATGTGATCTCAGTATTGCTGGATATGACTCATTTACGAACCTTTCTCAAGAAACTTGCAAGACGGGTGTGGTTATCTATGCTAGGCAAGACCTTAGAGCCAGCCAGGCGAGGGTACAGGGAGAGGATGTTTTTGAAGAGTCCAAGTGGTGTAAAATTAAATTAAAGGGAAGGGACTTACTTATTGTTGGGTGTATCTACAGATCCCCAAACTGTGGCCCACTAAATTAAAGGAACTTAAGAGCCTTAATAGACAATGCGGCGATGCTCAACCCTAGGCACCTCCTTATCATGGGGGACTTGGCGACATCGACTGGAGAAAAGAGTTCACCCCAAATGACTTGAATAACCCTGCTACTCTTTTTGTAGAAGCTCTGAGAGATAATTTTCTGTTCCAACATGTTAGAGACCCGACACATTACAGAGGGGAGCAAACACCAGAGCCACTAGACCTCATCATAACAAATGAGGAGGGTATGGTGGCGAAACTGGAACATCTTGCCCAGTTGGCACCAGTCACCATATAGTGTTGTCATTCAGATTTAACTGTTACCTAGTTCAGGATAAGACCAGGCCAAGGTACAAATATTACAAGGGAAATTACAACGGGATGAGGGAAGAGACGAGAGGTATCAACTGGCCTGACTCATTTAGGCACAAGAACGCAAACACTACGCTGAAACTACGCTGAATATCATAACTAGTTAAGTGACCCATTTGATCGATAAATATATACCCAAGACCAAACCCAGTGCCTCTAGGAATACGAGGGGATCCCTACACATGAACCATGCTGTGGTCGACAGAGTTAAGAAGAAAACCCAGAAATTCAAGACGTGGGTTGGGTCAAACGATGAGCAAGACAGGAGGATGTGTGCAAGAGCCAGAAACCAAGCAAAGATAGAGTGTAGGAGGGCTGAAAAGGAGTTCCAGAGGCTGGTTGCAAGCGAGGTCAAGTCAAACCCAAAGGCGTTTTACCGCTATGCAAAGTCGAAATTAAAAACGCGAGTAGGAGTATCAGACCTGAGGCTTGAAGATGGTAGTTATGCAGATTCTGACAAGGATAAAGCTGAGGCATTGAAGAGCTTCTTTTCCTCGGTGTTCACAAGAGAGGATGTGAACAACCTTCCTGCGTTTGAGGACAGACGGTTCGACACAGCACTGACCCACATTGTGTTCACAGAAGAGGGTATTAGCAATAAACTGTCCAGGCTAAAGGTCCATAAGAGTCCCGGCCCTGACAAGGTGCATCCTAGAGTGCTAAGAGAGTTGTGCAACGAGCTTGCCGAGCCCCTGAAGATCCTGTTTTGTAAATGCCTGGATGAACAAAAGGTCCCTTGTGAATGGAAAGTGGCTTATGTGAGTCCTATCTTCAAGAAGGGCGATCGTCACTCCACGAACAACTTTAGACCGGTGAGCCTGGCCAGCATAATATGTAAAGTACTTGAGAGTATTATCAGAGATGCCGCAATGGAACATCTAATCCGAAACAATCTTGGAAAGGATTGCCAACACGGTTTTATGCCGGGGCGCTCCTGCTTAACACAATTGCTCAAGGTTTTGGATATTTGGACCCATATTATGGAACAGGGTGGTAATATCGACAATATTTACCGAGATTCTGCCAAGGCTTTCGACAGTGTACCCCACAAAAGGCTGAAAATCAAACTGGAAGGGTACGGAATTCGGGGAAATGTCCTAGCTTGGATAGAAGACTTTCTACATGACTGCAAGCAGTGTGTGGTGATTTAATGGCACGAAATCATCATCCGTACCTGTCACAAGCGGGGTACCACAGGGCAGTGTATTGGGCCCACTGTTGTTTGTTTGTTTCATAAATGACATGCCTGACGTTGTACACTCCTCCATACAAATGTTTGTCGATGACGCCAAGTTATTTCGGGAAATCAAGAACCAAGCGGACTGTGAAGAGCTGCAGAAGAACCTCTGTGGGCTCCAAGAATGGTCGAAGAAATGGCTGCTGAGATTCTGTCACGAAGTGTAAGAGGATGCACCTGGGGCGTGCCAACGGTAAGGAGGCGTATCATATGTCCCAACGGAATGAAGAAACTGCACTATTTGAGACTGAATGTGAGATGGACCTCGGTGTGTATGTTGACAATGAGCTGAAGTTCTCGGGCCATTGCGAGAAGAAGGTAAATCAGGCAAATAAATTATTGTGTCTTATAAGAAGGTCGTTCAGATATCTAGACGGTCCGTCCCTCGTTACGATCTTCAAGAGTGAAGTGCTTCCCCATCTGGAGAACTGTCACCCGGTCTGGTCCTCGAGATATGCTAGGGACTGTCAGTTGGTTGAAAATGTTCAAAGGAGGGCCACCAGACTGGTGCCTGCACTTCGGCACCTCAGCTACCCTGAGAGATTGGAGCGCCTGAACTTGCCTAGCTTATACTACAGACGGGCAAGGGGTGACCTAGTTGAGGTGTATAAGCATCTCAAGGGGTACTACTCAGTTGAGTGTCCTTACTTGG